GGAATCAGTTGCAAACAATTCAGAATGGAATTGGGAATCTATGAAGACCAAGGAGTAGTTTAGGTTAGATGCCAGCAATCTCTTATGCTGTTTTCATGACATACTTTGATCTAAATGACAGAAACACAGGTTGGACTAATACTACTTCTCTCTTGCCATTTTGACAGGTGCAGGCTCCTGAGATAGCTGCCCTTGGTTTCAGCTGTCTCACTCTCATTAACGGACGTCTAGTCAGCTCTCATTCACAGCCAGCAGCAGAGCATGTTGGATAGAATCTGGACTCCAGGCCAAAGCTGAAAAATACCTGAATTTCTCTTCTTTTCCCAGAGCCTGTTTTGCACTTGAAAATTCAAGCTTCATATTTAGTTCTCTGGATTTGATGTATAATCTGTATGCTTCTCATGGTCAGCACATTTAGGTTATCAGCCAAGGCTCAACCAGACTTCTGCTATTACATTTTCTCAGCTAAAATTCAGCATTTCTAAATAACTGATAAGGAGTCACACTTCCAAATGATTTATATAGCGAGACACTTCAAGGAACATTTTTCATTTCAAATACTGTCACTGTTTGGGACTGGAAGCTTGCAAGACATTGTTCTCAGCTTTTCCTGAACATGTGGCCTCTGGTTAGGAGCCTGTACTGACACTTGCAGATACAAATGGACTTCTTGTGCATGGTGATGAGTTGTTCAAAACACACACAGAAGTTCCTGCTGTGGAGAGGATCCTTTCTTCCTCACTCAGCTGTTATCCTGGTGGGCACAAAGCCACACTTCATTATTCATGAGATGCATTTTCTGTCAAAAACCAGGGGATTTGGAGCTGTACTGACCTATGACCTTTCCAAATATCAGGGAAGAATAATTCATAAGGGATGAAAATGGAAGCAAGACAAGCCATCTGAGGTCTAGGCACGATTACTGTCCAGGAGGACCTTCCTCGCTCCCCAGGGAGTCTCAGTTATGAACTGCTTTTCTGTACCCATTCCCTAATTCAGCTTCTATTCCATCACAGGCCTACAGCACTACTTACATCTTCAGTAAAAATCCATTTTGCCAGCACGATAGGATATTCTACATGATGGACATATACTCTTATCTTTTAGATGGAGGTCTTATGTTTAATTACTGATACTCAGCATGAAACAAAAAGCATACAAGAAGTAAATTTGGCTGCAAGTGAAATGAAGATCCCAGCATTGCCTTTTTGAAAAGAAATGGTATCCTGAGCATTGTGGTCTGCCAGTCACTATTTTATTCACTTGAGGTGTCTTGAAGTTGATTCTTCTACCTTTGAGCATCCCTAGGTTTGCAGTCAATTAAGATAGATATATTTTAGACCATCCCTCATTTCAAAATGCATCTTGCCTTTTGGGAAACAGATCTAGTTGGTTCTGCCTACAGAATAACGAATGTGTTATGCAAGGCCTATAGTCTTCCATTATTAAATTAATGATATGCAGAAGTACTTTGAAAACATGTGATTTCATACTCTGGTCTGCATGTCAGTGCTCAATATGCATAAATCTGTGCCCTCCTGGAGAAGCAGAGGCTTATAATAGTCTAACAAGTCATAAAAACAGAAAACGTGTCAGCTCGGCATGAAAGTCTGGTTTCAATTCACAAAAATTGACAAAAGCCACAGGAATATAGTACCATGCATGAAATCACTTCTAAGGGGTGGGATATATTCCACATTTACTCAAACATGTAAAATTTGCACTCAAATTTTAAGTTCCTGCAGTAAGAAGCCCTCCATGTCTCTGTTTCTTTTCATGTCAGCAGAGAGAAAGCAGGTGCCCCAGATGTAGGCGCCTCAGGTCTACAAGGAAAATGGATGCTTGTTTTAAGAAGACTGTTTCACAGGGCACCAGCCAGTTGCCTGAGGTAGGGGACTGGATGACATTCAAGAACTCCTGTAATTGAATTCTGCTTGTTCAAAGGACGGTCTGTAGGAAAACTGTGTTGAACTTTTTGAAAATGTAGAACCTCCCCACAAGCTAAATACCAATCCTGATATGTACCAGAGAAGTCCACAACTACTAAACTGTAGAAAACTCCTTTATTTCTTTTTATGAGGAGATCATTGTTAAATAAACAATGATAAAGTGCCTGGAAAATCCAAAGATGTGGTATAAAGACACAATAAACCAAACTGAGATTCTAACGTTGAAAAGAAAGGCATAAATTTGCTAGATAGTCAGCATTGAAACGGTAAATTTGTTGTTTCCCCTATAAGAAATATGCTCTGGCTGAATTTGCTGCTGCAAACTAGCAGGGGCCTGAGAGAGTTTCAGAGAAAACCACTCAAGGGCTATGATGATGACTTTCAGGGCAGCGAGGTTTCTCTTCAAGCAAGGAAAGAAAAGGTGAGACACCTTCCTGCAGCAGAGCTCACCCGTAAGTTTGGCAGCTACACACGCAGCCGTCCTACCAACCTGTCCATGCTCTCAGCAACACCCCTGAGCACTTCCGAAGCAGCAGTGGAGTCAGGTTGTCAAGATGTCAAACCCCAAACAAGACGAACAGAATGTTTACCTTAAAAACACCGAACACATTTTATAAAAAAACAATCCAAAGACAAGATTCTCACTGCCCCGAGCGCCCTGATGTAAGAGCTCAGAAGCCCTTTGTTCATGCTATTTTGGCTGGCATTCAGCCACAAGAATAAAAAGAAAAATGCTGAAGTGATTTTCTGTCTAAGTCTGCAGCATCAATAATTGTTTCAGAGCCATGTCAGATGGCAAAGAAAGAACTGAATTTCTAGCATTTTAAACTAAAGTGTGACCCCTATTATTATGGGATTAATAGATATATTAATATAGCTGCACAATTTTAATGTACATTTTGTAAGAGGAAAATTCTGGACTCTTTGTAGACATAACTAAAAAGGCTGAAAGCAGGTTCATGTTGGCAGCTCTTGTGATTTTATTGCCACTCTTACAACAGTGAGGCACTTTTCTGAAGGCTGTTCCTATAGTAAAGAGAATATAGTGAGAACATCAGCTCCACCTTTTTCCCAACAGATCCACGTTCCTAGCGAAGTTTGCAAAAGAAAATATTTAAATCCCTCAAACCAGAAAGCAAATAGTAAGGCCCCCAAAAGCAGAGATATGTATTCATATATGCAAATGCCATGCTTGGGGTGACTGGGTCCTTGGGGCTGCAATAATGCGTTTTGACAGAAGGAAATCTCTTTTCACTAAGGTTGATCCGAAACACCAAACTCTTTTTCCCCTCCTTGGATTGTGGCCGAGACAGTTTTGGCCGGCAGTGACGGAGGCATGTGCTCAGCTGCCTTGTCTGCAAACCTGCTCTATGCCCTGAAGCAGAAGAATCACTCCCTAAATCCGTTCCCAACATGGGCACACTGGAGGGGCATCATTATACCCCAGTCCTAGCTGGGCTTCTGACCGTGACACAGATTACATGTCTTCCCATCTGCTGCAAAGGACCCAACCAACCTTCCTGTGGGCCAGATTTCAATAACCATAAATTCTTACAAGGAACACAGGGCCCTTCTTGTCCCCTATCACTTGTGCCCAAATGCCACAAAGGTCTGCAAAATGAGCGGGGTTTTGCACACTGGTTCTGTTAAAAAGGGGGAGAATAATCAAGGCACTTTCTGTTTCACGGTCCAATTTTTGTGGTTTACTAGCTTAGAATGAATCTTCACATGACTCTAGCAAAGGATGTGCATGGTTTTTCCTTTGACAAGAACTGAAAAGCCACAGTCTGTCACATCTCTCAAAAGTCCAAATGTGTCACTCTGAGTGCCAAAAACCTGGGTGTCATTTACTTGACAAGCTTGGGACCCTCACTCATGTCTAGTGCTTGTGCTGCTTCACAGATGTCCCAGTACATCTTGGCACACGCGCTGCTTTGTGCGGGGGCTGTATCCTCACCTTCACCCCCCTGCTGAGGCCTGAAATGAGGGGGAAGACCTTACAGCACAGAGACCCTGCCTGGAAAAGGCATGTGGAAGAAAATTAGTTAAATTACAGTCGGCTTGTGCTGCCTCCTGCATGTGGATGGACATGGAGGGAGGCGAGCATCAGAGGCAGAAGCAAAGGATGCTGCTCTGTGGTGGCAGCAACCCCTTGGCACGTTGTTTCAGCTGGCCACGTGGCACACGTCAGCATACATGCAGGCACCCTGTCTTCCCTCAGCCGCTCCTCACAGGACTTGTGCTCTAGACCCCTCACCACCTTTGTTGCCCTTCTCTGGACATGTTCCAGCACCTCAATGCCTTGAAATTGCACCTCAATACAAGAGAGAGCTGGAGCAAGTGCAGAGGAGGGCAACAAAGCTGGTGAAGGGCCTGGAAAATGAATCATATGAGGAGCGGTTGAAGGAGCTGGGACTGTTTAGTTTGAGGAAGAGGAGGCTGAGGGAGACCTCACCACTCTCTACAACTACTTGACACTGTAGAGAGGTTGGTGCTGGTCTCTTCTCACAGGTAATTAGTGACAGAACGAGAGGGAACGGCTTCAAGCTCCAACAGGGTAGGTTTAGACTGAACATTAGGAAGGAATTTTTCACAGAAAGAGTGGTTGGGCATTGGAATAGGCTGCCCAGGGAGGTGGTTGAGTCACCATCCCTGGATGTGTTTAAGAGATGTTTAGATGTGGTGTTGGGGGATATGGTGTAGGGGAGAACTTTGTAGGGTAGGGTAGATGGTTGGACTCGATGATCCCAAGGGTCTGTTCCAACCTAGACGATTCTATGATTCTATGATTACTTTTGTTTTTTAAATGTGTTCCATTATTGTGAATCAAATTTGGCCTTATTGTCTGGCTCCTCACACCTGCCCACTAATTAACATAAGGATGCCAACAAGAGATGCCAAGTACAATCATACTGGGACAACACCACCACTCAACTGCTTTGTTGCAAGGGTCGGCCATTTTGAAAGAGGTGAGACAGCGGCAAGCCAGGCCCTCTGGGCTGTGTGTTGTCCACCAAAGGCACCCAGAGCACCCCTCCACCCGCCCCTTACCTGGGCTGGGGCGCTGGAGGAGAGGTGGGTCAGGTCCCCGATCCTGGCGGCCGCCCGGGGGTCGCTGGAGCTGATGAGGACGGGGGCGCTGATCTCCATGGAGTGCCGGTTGCTGGCTGCCTGGGAGGACTTGTGCGTCATGCTGAGGGCTGTGAAGGAGTGCCGCTTCTTGGCGTTCTTCTTGCCCTCCGCTTGCCGCTGGGCTGCCCCGGCCGCCCCAGCGCCAGCCAGCGTGGAGCACGGTGCCAGACCCGCCGCCGCCGCCACTGCTGCCGTCTCCGTGGGCAGCGGCACGTCACAGCCGGAGGCGGCAGCCGAGCACGTCTTGTCCATCTCCATGAGCTGCTTGGCGGACTCATTGAGCTGCGTGTGGAGGAAAAGCAAAAGTTAAAAAAAGGCTGAAAAAAAAAGGAGAAGAAAGGGGGAAGTCAACGGCCCATCGCAGCTTGGTGATGGCACCTGCTGGACACACCTGGGGCTTTTGTCCTGGAAGGTCCTCTCCTGGTGGCCTACCCTGGAATGCTGCTGAGCACCAAACCATGATGAATCATCTCCCAGGGAGGAGAGGGGTCTGGGGTCCACACACCCCCAGCGCTCACCGCAGGGGGATTCTGCCCTGGAAAACAGGGCGCTCGGGGCAGGTCCCAAACACACCCTGGTTTTGTCATCTGTCTGTCACCTCTCAGTCAGCCAGGCAGGTCCCCAGGAGGCTCACTAGTATACTTGGTACACTAGTACCCTAACCTGCCCCAGACCTTCCAAGGTGTTACTGTCCAGCTCCAGGGAGATGCCCAATTTATTCATTTTTCTGAAGCTAGGTGAGTTATTTCCAATCACTTCTTAATGCCAGAAAAATCAAAAGAGAGGCAGAATAAGCACCCAGGAGAGTTAGGCTAGAACCAGGCACTGCAAGTTGGTGCACATCAAGCTACAACATTTAAAAAATGATGTTCACCAAAATAGCTGGTGTTAGGCTGCAGAGGAGGAGTTGGGGAAGGAGGCAGGACTCTCTCCATCTCCAGCCTCTCCACTTCGCCATTCCCAGGCTCATCGTAGGCCTATGTTTGACATTTGCCACACAGGATTTCGATCCAGGGGTACAGAATCCAAGTCTTTCCAATTCCATCTCCCTGCCTCCCACCCAACACAGGTTATCCAAATGCAGACGCAAACTGAAGTCATTTTTTCCAGTTGTGTCACTTCAACCAAGGAGGAGCATGATGGCCACTGGAAGACTTGCTCAGGGTCCAACTTGAAAAATTGTCCTCACCAGCCCTCCCAAAGGGTTTAAAACTTGGCCTACAGCCCATGGAGACAGCAGAGCACCTGGATGTGCGGGCCAGTTTTCAGCCCCCTGTTCCTCATTGCCTGTAAATGCCAAAGGCATGCTGGGTGGGAAAACCCTGTCATTGAAGCCTCTCACCTCCTAGTCACCATAACTCATACAGGAAATCTACGCCTTACCTAACTGGAGAGTTTTTAGGGGCATATGGGCGCTACAGTCACTGATGATACATGAAGTGTGCCCTGAAGTCAGCAGTGCTTTCTGCACAGCGTTCCTTGCCAATAGATCTTCCCTCGAGGGGTGCTAACAGCCGAGAGAAAATGCCACAATTTGCCAACAGACCTTTATATTAAACTAGGATGCACCGCAATATGTTTGCATTTAATGAATAAAAACAACATATGAAAAAGGGAGCCACAGCTAACGCATACAGGCTTTTGCATACACGGCTATTCTCAGACCCACATAAACCAGAGGTGCATGTGATACTATTCTGGACCAAAACCAGGCTATTTTTGTTTCTATAACCACTGTATGAATTATGGCCGCATCCAAGATACTCAGTCGAGGACAAGGTCTTCTCAGGCTCTAAATGAAAAAAAAAGAATGGTTGCTGCTCCAAGCAATGCAAATTTAGAAACCGAATACGAGTGAAAATAAAAGGGAAAAAGAGAGGGATGGGAAAGATAACTATAGGAGTGTGCACTTAAACAAATGTGCAATTGAGTAGTTTTTATGACTTCCAACCACTGTCAACATGTGGTAAATATAAATAAGAAATCGATATTGCCAGCCTTATGCCAGTTCTCCCGAGTTTGAAAGCACTTCTGAGCACTTCCACGAGGACTCATTCTGAGTAACAGGCAATAAACCCACTGACACCTAGAATGTAAACATCAGCTTGCAGGATCCTTCATTCTGTGACAGCTTCCACCAAGTCAACCAAGAGCCTCCAATTAATGACGCTCCATGACTGTCAGAGCTGCTGGGAGTCCTGCAACCATTCAATTAGCAGGCCATTTTCCCAGCTGCACTCTCCAACTTGAGACCATGCTTACAGCCAGCATAGTGCACTGCACCTGCCAATTTTTGCCAATAACAGCTGATCCCATTTCAGATTCTTCAAGAATGTCCATTATTTCCCACTTCATCATGCTCTAAATTGGTACAACCTAATATTTGCCAGCAGGCTCCAAGTTGCAAGGAAACCAGATGGTTCCCCTCCCTTAAGTAGGTGTTACAGCTCCGCTTACCCAATTGATGGAGATAGTCTAGCCGAATTATTTGAAATATTAAGGAGAAAAGGAGAAAGACATCAAATATGCATGATTCTTTTCTACAGCAGAGGGTGAGGAAATATTTTGCTAGTCAACAGCAAGCAGGATAAAAATATATTCTAACTCTTTAACATAAGAAAATATAGAGTTAAAAAAATAATATTTAGAACTTCCTGATTTTACAAAAATGATCCATATGAACAATGATGTGCTCCAGCTCTCAATATCAAAACTCTGATTCCTCTTGTAAGAATTAAGTTATAAATCCCAATGGCTAGAATCCAATTTAACACCAAAGCTGTTCTTTTTAAAACAACAAAATCAATTACTTTTTTGTTCAAAGCAAAACTTAGTTTATAAGGTCAATAAGAGAGTTAGCATCTAAACATGGGGTGATAAAAAATAGCCCCGTGTTGATATAAACAAAGTCATTCTTGATATCAGTAGAAAATTAAAGGCAAAAAAAAAAGCCCTCCCCCAAACAGTCAAGCTAATGAACTTTTTGGGAATGTCACAGTCTTCCTGAAATACTGGGAAAAAATTATTTTGGTCTGCCAAGATAAAAAATGCTTTATAGCTTTACCACTTTATTTTTGTAGAGAACTGTTTTTTAAACAGCTTTGCCCGGGGATGCTAGAAAGTCCTTCCCAAATAGGTTACAAATACCAGAGAAAAGGTTCTGCTTACTGCTTTGTACAAGCAAATGGTGCTGTCTCTTTACAAAGAACTTTTAGAAACTCCTTTTTAAACATAAACATGATTACAAATTTCTTATTTTAAACTCTGAGTATGTAAACAAGCATTGCTTTCTGGTGTCTGTCATCAGATCTTCAGGCAGATCTGCTTCCAGAGGAGAAGCTTAATGGAAAGTTCTGACCCGCAGTCAGTCTCAGGAATTTGACATTTCTGGAAGGCTGCGGCTCTTATGACAACGCCTAACACTAGAACTCAGCTTTCTCGCCCATTTTTGATCCCTCCTCTTGAAAGAACCCACATTTGAAATTCTGGTCTTCCCAATCCCGAAGAGTAAAATATATATACTCGATATATGATTTAGAGGGAAGAGGCTTGGATTTGAATGCCAACCAGTCAAACAGTCCCAGCCGCCCTGCAGTTCTTGCTCTGGGAATGCAAAACCTTGCAAGGGCAAGCCTTATAATGTCCGAGGGACCCTACCATGCACGAGATGCGAAGAAACGGTACAGTAAAACTGTTCACAGGGTCTCAGTGACTATTGACCGTGGGTGCTGCATGCTGAGATAAGGATGCACCAGCCTCCGTTCATAGAGCTGCTGTGCCTGTTTCTCAGGAAGGCATTCCCCAGCCGCCAGGAACTGCACTAGAGGCAGCTCCAGCTTGTCTGGTTTTGAGACTGAAGGGGGGTGCATGTGGAATACCTCTGTGCACAGAGCCTTGTTCACCTCCAAACAACCTTTTCCCACAAAGGGAGCTGTAATCAAGCTCCGTTCATTAAAAATTTGCTGACCTTGATCAGGGAGCCACACAGCTCTCCCCGCCACAATGCAAGCTGTCATGACTTTGGCCTCCAGCCAGACAGCCCATACAATATGAACTAAGGGAGAGGGTTTTTTTCTTCTTCTGGCTTTTAGATATGACTATTTGGAGAGGTTTTTTTTTTTCTTATTCTGGCTTTTAGATATGACTATTTTAGGTACTCTACTTGAGACTTTACCATATGGGCAACAAAGGTACAAACATTAAGTCACCTAACTCAGGACTTCTCCGCTGCCAAAATTATTTTTTTATTAGTGTCTAGATAAACCTCATTTTTCTGCAGAATGCATTATGGTGACTTCCTCTCTGTCTCTGTTGCACATGCTCGCACACACTCACACCTATACACACACCCCAGTTCACCCCAGCTCCTGACATGCGGGTTTAAAAGAGAATACCTGTAAACAGTTTCAACACATTTTTCTTTGAAGGATGAGGGGATACAGGAGAGAAACTCTCATCTGCACTGACTATCCCCACATGGGACTAAATACGCTTTTTATATCCCAATGTGATTTAGTGAACTATAGTTTCAATGGGCAGTGTTATGCGCCTACTTACACATCCCAGTTAGGAAGAAGAGCAAGGAAAAAGCCACTTCTTGTCCAGTGACGATCATAATTAATTCTAGCTTTAGTCCAAAGAACAAATTATTACTGTGGAACTTATTATTATGGAAAAGACAGAAGCATGGGAAATTTAGGTCAAATTTAAATAATTAACTGTTACTGCATCTCCCCTGACAAATACGCCACTGCGTTTGCTAATCCATGATAGTGGCAAAATTGTTCTAGCCCAGTTTAGACCTCCAAGGGACACCTTGATACACTGTGGTCACCATGGCAGCTCCTGGGTTGTTGCAGTTCACTGACAGTGCTGTCTTCTGTAAGACGGAAGGCAGTGAGTCTTATTCTGCTATTGAATACTCTTAGCTAGCTAGTCATTTACATCTGGGTAATGGATTAATTTCTGACTGATATCTCACATACCAAAGGGAGGACCCTGCTCCATTTCTGGTTTAGCAACATAATTCAGTGCGTACTTGATATTATGCACAGACCAAAGTGTCACTAATGGGACTAAAATGCCATTTTTTCTAAATAAGGAAAGATTGCTTAAATACTCGTTTTTACACAACGTGCCTAAGTATTTTGTTTAACTGGAGCCAGTTTGAATCATAAAGTACAGTTTATTAAATCTTTCAGGAAAATAATGCTTCATTTGCTATGCAAGATTCTTTTCTGTCTTTATGGAAAGTATTAGCTAAAGGATCGTGCTGTTCAAAT